GCAGGAAATCCTCAGCCAGAAACACCGCCTGAGAGCAGGTGTCTGGACCACTTTCCCTCACCCAGCTCTGGATCTCCGGGGGCAGGATGGTCAGGAACTGCTCCAGGATCAGCACCTCCAGGATCTGCTCCTTGGAGCACCTCTCCACTTTGAGCCATTGACGACAAAGGTCCTGGAGTTGGCCGTAAGCCCCTCTCGGCCCCTCGGCCTCTTGGTAATGGAAACGCCTGAAGTGTTGGCGCTGTTTCTCCCGGCTGAGGACGTCCCCTCGCAGGATGGCTGCCTTCACCTTCCCATAATCCTCTCTGTCAGCAGCATCTAAGACAATAAAAGCTTGCTTGGGTTCTCCGCTGAGGGCCGGCAAGAGCCTGCTGACCCACTGTTCTCTAGGCCACTGGCAGGCTTCGGCTACTTGCTCGAAGGAGGCCAGAAAGCTTTTCGTGTCTTCCCACGGAGAGGGCTTCTCTTGCTGTGGTGAGATTCCCCACCCTGAGTGAGGGGACTCCACCCTCCTTAGGAACTCCTGCCATCGGGCTTCCCAGTGCTCAGCCAAACCTTCTTGTGGCTCTTCTTTCACCTGATCTGAAGGAGGTGCCGATCGGAAGGATCCCCCACTGCTTGCAGGCTGCATAGTTTCCAGGCGTTTACTTTCTCTCTCAGAGTCTATCAGAGACGTGCAGTCTACAGAGTATGGGCCATTGTAGCGTTCTTTTCCTGGTCCCTCTGATGTCACACCAGGTATGCAGCCTGCAGGGTTTCTCTCCTCCATTTTCATCATAGTGAAGACTCATGTGTAATGCCAGTGATCTAAATAGTCGTGCTGAGCTTTTGCCTGGGGGGGGGGGGGGGGGGACAAGGCAGAGAATTAACATAGCTCGACATCTATCCTCTGGTAATGCTTCAGCAATTCGACAATATTGGTCATATGCAAATGATATTTAAATACAGGGCTATTTTTGGGCAGGAACGCACAGGAACGGAGTTCCGGCTGGCTCCCAAGCTGGCCACGCCCAGCAGGAACTCATTAGCATAATAGGCCACACCCAACAGCAGAAACTCATTAGGATTGGCTACATTAGGGGTGTGTGGCCTAACATGCAAAGGAGTTCCTGCTACAAAAAAAGGCCCTGGGTTTTGACAACAAACAAGGTAAACATTATAAGAAGCAAAAGATTGGTGTGGCTGGATAACCACACTTCTGGTAACATGGGGGTGCGGCCTAATGTGCTAATGAGCTGTGCTGTCAGGGGTGTGGCCCAATATGCTAATGAGTTTCTGCTGTTGGGTGTGGCCTATTATGCTAATGAGTTCCTGCTGGGCTTTTTCTACAAAAAGAGCCCTGTTTAAATATATTTTAACATGTTGAATGTGCCCTTTTAAAAATGCATAAAGAACATAAGAGAGGCCATGTTGGATCAGGCCACTGGCCCATCCAGTCCAACACTCCATGTCACACAGTGGCCAAAACCCAAGGGCCATCAGCAGGTCCACCAGTGGGGCCAGACCTCCAGAAGCCCTCCCACTGTTGTTGCCCCCCAAGCACCCAGAATACAGGGCATTGCTGCTTTGTGGCATTCTAATATAAACGCTCAGAATGATCTTAGGGCACTTATCTAGGAGGCCATATTTTTTGCATCCAAACTGTGAAACACGTTATACCTTGGTCCACAATGAATAAGAGGCAAGTTATCACGCAAGGGGGCAAGGTAGACATGATCTTGGGCACATTGCCACCCCATCCCACATTCTGGAAATCCCATCATTCAGATTTGGGGGCCGCCAGCCTGTATCAAGGGTAAATAAAAAAATGTCCAGTAACGTCAGATTCTTTCGTTTCAGAGCGTAGCTGTGTTGGTCTTCCCTTCAGTAGAACAGCAGGATTCGAATCCAGTAGCTCCAACAAGATTTCCGGGGTAGGAACTTTTAAGAATCAAATCTCCCATCATTTGAGCCAGCATGGTGTAGTAGTTAAAAGCGGCAGACTCTAATCCAGAGAACTGGGTTTCCCACTCCTCCTCCCCGTGAATCCTGCTGGGTGACCTTGGGCCAGTCCCAGTTCTCTCAAAACTCTCTCAGCCCCACCCGCCTCACAAGGTGCCTGTGGTGGGGAGAGGGAGGGAAGGTAACTGTAAGCCGCTTTGAGACACCTTAAGGTAGAGAAAAGAGGGGTATAAAAACCGAAAGCAGGGTATATAAACCAACCCTTCTTCTTCAGAAGGTACCTGATGAAGGGACCTTTAAATCTCAAAAGCTCATACCCCCCAAATCTTGCTGCTACTGAACTCAAAGCTAGAGATTTTCTAATCATTCAAGACAAGATGGACTTCTTAAGCCATCCAGATGCCCCAAATAAGGAACCAATCCAGAGGAGAGAAAAGAAAACTGACGGTTTCTGATCAGACGCAGTCCCCTGGGCTGGAAGGGGAAGCCGTGCCGAACACAAGGATTCCATGGGACAGCCAAGTACATAGAGGGGAGTTGTGATCTAATGAGTGATTTGTGGTGTCTACATTTTAAAAGTGGGAAGAGCCAGTATGGTGCAGCAGTGAAAGAGTGTTGGACTAGGATTCTGGGAGGCCCAGGTTTTCCCCCCACTCTGCCATGGCAACTCCCTGGGTGGCCTTGGGCCAAACACACATGCTCAGTAACCCACCTCACAGGGCTCTTGTGGGGATAAAACGGAGGACAGGAGAACAATAAGTCCAATCCAATTCCAATCACCTTTATTGGCATAACAATAACTTTAAGGAAAAAATAACAGTACAAGGACAATAAGTCACTTTGGGTCCTCGCCGTGCAGAAACTACCGTATTAGTGATCTAATGAGTGATTTGTGGTGTCTACATTTTAAAAGTGGGAAGAGCCAGTATGGTGCAGCAGTTAAAGAGTGTTGGACTAGGATTCTGGGAGGCCCAGGTTTGAATCTCGCCACTCTGCCATGGCAATTCCCTGGGTGACCTTGGGCCAAACACACATGCTCAGTAACCCACCTCACAGGGCTCTTGTGAGGATAAAATGGAGGACAGGAGAATGATAAATCCAATCCAATTCCAATCACCTTTATTGGCATAACAATAGCTTTAAAGAAAAAATAACAGTACAAGGACGATAAGTCACTTTGGGTCCTCGCCGTGGAGAAACTGCCGTATTAAAAAATGATGTAAATAAACAAATAAGACCCATACTGTATAAACCTCGATCATGTCACCCCTCAGTCGTCATTTCTCCAAGCTAAAGAGCCCTAAGCGCCTTAACCTTTCCTCATAGGGAAAGTGTTCCAACCCTTTTATCATTCGAGTTGCCCTTTTCTGCACTTTTTCCAAAGCTATAATATCCTTTTTAACTTTGTTCATCCTAAAGGGGCCACTGGACTCCCATATTGTTCTGCTGCTTCAGACCAACACAGCTACCCACTGAAGCGAAATCCAAGGTGTTTCTTGTTCTGGGAAAGAGAGAAAACTGCCATGAAAATGCTCCTGAGCCCACCTGCAGGGGTACCTGTGTACATTAAGGAGAAGGGTCTTCCAGATGAATCAGAGGGTGCCTTTTCCGGGGACAGCTT